GGGCTGGATTTGAACCCGCCACCTTGGGTGTACATGGCTGGCGCCTTAGCCACTTGAGCCACAGGCGCTGAGCCACCTTCGTCAACTTTTATAAGAATATCTATGAAAAACCCTCCACTGGGTGTCGCCTGTGGCTCAGTGAGCAGGGCACGGGCCCCATATACCATGGGTGGAGGGTTCGAACCTGACCCCAGCCAAAAACTGCAAAAAAAAAAAGAAAGAAAAAGAAAAACCCTCCACTAGCCTAATACTTAATGGTGAAAGACTGAACGCCTTATGAGGAAGATAGGGATGTCCACTCTTACCATTTCTGTTCAACATTATACTAGAAGTTCTAGCCAGGGCAATTAGGCAAGGGGGAAGAAAGGCATCCAGGTGGGAAGGAATGAAGTAAAACTACTTCTATTAATGGATAACCTCGTCTTATGTATACAAACCCATAAATAATTCACACACCAACAAAACCCTATTAGAATTCACACCTGATTTCAGCAAAGTTGCAGCATCAATACACAAAAACCAATTATATGTCTCTATGCTAGCAATCAGCACTCCAAAAAGGAAATTAAGAAAACAATTCACTTCCATTCATAATAGCATCAAAAAGAAAAAAGTTATTAGGAATCAATTTAAGGAAGTGTAATATTTGCACAATGAAAACTACAAAATGCTGAAAGAAAACCTAAATAAATGAAAAGTCAACGTGTATTCTTGGGTCAGAAGACTAAATGGTGAGATGCAACTCTCCAAGTTGATCCACAGCTTCCATACCGTCTCTATCAAAACTTGGACTGGGATGGGAGATGTAGCTCATGCCTTTAATCTCAGAACTTTGGGAGGCTGAGACGGAGGATCACTTGAGGCCAGGAGTTTGAGACCAGCCTGGGCAACATAAAGAAACCCCTTCTCTACCAAAAATTTAAAAACTAGCCAGGCATTGTGGCATACACCTGTAGTCCTAGCTTGAGCTCAGGAGTTTGAGGCTGTAGGGAGCTATGATCACACCACTGTACTCCACCCTGTACAACAGAGCAAGACCCTGTCTCTGCAAAAAAGAAACTGAAAGACAACCCACAGAATGGGAGAAAATATTTGTCAAAATATTTGCAAATTATATATTTGACAAATATCCAAAATATATATAAAGTATAGATATCTATAAGGACCTCTTACACTCAACAACAAAAAGACAAACAACCTAACTTAAAAAAATGAACAAAGCATTTGAAATGACATTTCTCCAAAGAACACGTGCAAATGGCCAAGGAACACTTGAAAAGATGCTCAACACCATTAGCCATCAAGGAAATGAAAATCAAACCTATAGGCTTGGCATCCGTACTCAGTGGTTAGGGTGCTGGCCACAGACACTGAGGCAGTGGGTTCAAACCCAGCCCGGGCCTGCTAAACAACAATGACAACTGCAACAACAACAACAAAAAATAGCTGAGTGTTGTGGTGGGTGCCTATAGTCTCAGTTACGTGGGAGGCTGAGGCAAGAGAATCACTTAAGCCCAAGAGTTTGAGGTTGCTGTGAGCTGTGACACCAGGGCACTCTACCAAGGGCAACACAGTGAGACTCTGTCTCAAAAAAAGAAAAGAAAAAAGAAAATCAAAACTACAACAAGACAACCCTTTACACATGTTAGAATGACTATAGTTAAAAAAGCAAACAATAACAAGTGTTGGTGAGGATGTAGGGAAATGGGAACCCTCACACATGGCTGGCAGGAATGTATAATGGTTCAGCGGCTATAGAAAACAGTTTGGCAGTTCCTCAAAAAGTTAAACACGGAATTACCACAGGACCCAGCAATTCAACTCTCAGGTATATATCCAAAAAGAATTGAAATAGATGTTCAAACAAAAACTTGTATGTGAATGTTTGCCGTGGCACTATTCAAAAAAGCTAAAAGGCAGAAACAAATAACTCACGTCCATCAACTGTCGAATGGATACACAAAACGTAACATATCCATACAATGAAATATTATTCAGCCATAAAAAGCTAGGAAGTATTCATACATGGATGAACTCTGATGACATTATACTAAGTGAAAGAAGCCGGACAAAAAGGGCCACACATGAAATGCAATGTACAGACAGTCACATATAAAGTGTATGATTCTATTTATATGAAATGTCCAGAATGGGCAAATCCATAGAGAGATTATACTCGTGTTTGCCAGAGGCCAAATGCAGCGTGAGTACGTAGTGGGTAGAAGGCTTCTTTGGGGGTAATGAATATGTTCTGAAATGAGACAGAGATGATGGTTATACAGCCTTGATGCTAAAAATCACCTGAAAGTGGCTACAATGGTGATTTTTATGGTTAACGAATTTTATCTCAATTTCTTCTTTGTCTTGATGTAAAAGAAATACAGAAGAAATGGCAGGTCAAGATTTTTTTTGCTGGTGGAATCAGTTTCCCCAACCATAAAAGGAATCGAATTCTTACCTCCCTGCCATGCTGTTAACCCTGTCAGGACTCTGATGACCCACAGCTGTCCTTTTCTAAGACTGTAAGCTTCGTGAGGGCAGACACGGCATAGATCCGAGAAGTCTACCTCAAGGCCAAGAAAATACCGTAAAATAGTGAGGTCTGGTAAGGTAGAGAAGCCACGGAGACAGTTATCAATTGACCTTGGAAGGAAATGAGACAATCTGAACCTATTGGGGGGTGGGGTGGGGGTTAAGGCCCGGTCCTCTTTATTTTAACAGGCATTCCGGGTACTTCTGACCCAAATCTAGTGGTCTCTCTCTTTGAGTTGCAATGTGCACAGAAAAAAGACAAACTCCCCAAACAACCCAACCTCCCTCCGAACCCATGATAGCACAGAAAAACAATCTGGATCCCCCCTTCTTCCTCCCTTCGTACAAAATTCTAAGGCATCAATCAGAACTGAAAAAAGAAAACAGCCCAGGTCAGGTGCAACGAATGCCAAGGTTACTGAATCAATCATGTTGATTTGGGGAATCCATTCACTCAGAACACTGGGGGCTGTTAGAAGAAGGAGACATTTCCATGGAGGTCTCGGGCAGCCGTTCAGGGGTTGTGATGACAGTGCTTGGAATGCTCACTTCAGAGCAAGTAGGAAAAAAACAACAGCCGTGACTGTACTTTATCACCTGACATGTCACCCTTTCCTCGGGCGTGGCTTAGCCCCGCTCTTAGATTCTCAGACACTTAACCCATCTTTTTCCTTCACCACAGTGCAAATACACATTGGGGTGTGGGCCACAGAGTGATGGAAATCTCCCATCTGCTCAGGTCTCTTTGGGCCTCAGCCTGTGACCAGGCAGGGTCTGTACCTGGGGTGGGTCGTGTAGCCTCTTCAGTTCTCCAAGCATTCACATCCGTGGGTCTTTGCTGGTCATTGCCCCAGTCCATTCCTCTCCGGAGAGGAATCCTTCCAGGTCCCCAGGCTGGATGACCCCTTCTCCCTGCATCCTGGGGATCTATCTCCTGTCTTTTCCTTCCACCCAGCTGTGGAGGCTTTCAGGGCAAAGGATCTCTGAGTTGACGGCCTTCATTTAAATGGATAAACCCTTGAGAGTGTGTTTCCGCCTCTGCGAAATAATGGAGTTAGACAAGATCATTGATGTGATCTGAGTACAACCTACGGACCAATTTGGCCTCCATGATATTTCTTTTATTAAAGAAAGCATTTTTTAATTGGGGACGTTTCTATTAAAACCTTAAGTTCTGCCTTCTCTTGAAAACTCAGGTAATTTGACAGCATGTAGCCCACCTGACAGACCAAGGCACTACCCCCCCGGGGGAACAGGCTGTGGAAGACGGGAGCCCTTGGTTAGATGCCTTTTCCAGCTCCAAATTTAAAGCCCTACCACCCCATAATTCTAATTTCTCTTCCTCCTCCTTTATCAAGACATACCTTTTTTTTTTTAATCTCAGTGCAAACCAATTCACTGATAGACTCAACTTTGCTTATTTGTATCAGGGATTTTGGGTTTTGTTTGAGTATTCTTTCTTTTAATCTTCCTTATATTTTAAAGCAGTTAGCCACAAGCCTCCTCCCTGCTTAGAGCCTAAACAATTAATCACCTGATCTGATTTAATCATCTCAGAAACAATTACTGTCAGCCTTCTAAAAATCCCTTTTAGGTTATACGGAGCACCCTCCTCTTTCTCAGCAATGAATTGGGAACAGCTAACTCCAATTTCAAAAGCACATTGCCAAGGTGATCCAGCTGAATGTGGACCTTTCACACACATACATCAAATGCTTGAGCAAATTCTACCTCCATAGAACCATTTAAGCAATTTCAAATACATTTCCGTTGCATAATTAGGCAAGGACTTCGGTCATAAAACGCTGCTGCAAACTTAAGTGAAATCACCACAGATTATTATTTGTAAGAAAAATGTCCAGTTGCAAGGTAGACCCGTCATCAGCTCCTCAATGGATTTCCATCTTGCCATTTCCCCCCAGCTGGTTGGCTCCAATCAGTCCACGCTCGGGTGGCTAGAAAGACCACAGAGAACAAGCACCCGGCCCGAAGAGGAAACTCAATAGGCTCGTAATGCTGAGGATTCTGAGCTTGAAAGCAGAAGTCATTATGTTTCGGTATATTAGGGAAAAGGGACCATTATTTCCTTCGGGAACCTGCTTCTCCTTCTATATCCCCCACTGACGGAGTTTAGAGCAGCGGTCCTCATCCCTGGCTGCGCATTAGAAACACACGGGGGGAGCTTTTAAAAAGATGCCAGTGTCGGACACTACTGTGGACCGATTCAATCAGACTTTCAGAGAGGGGAGGCGGCTGCCACCTGAACTTGTAAGTGCTCAGGCGATTGCAATGTGTGGCCTGGCGAGGGTTATTGGAATGAAGTCTTTTCCCAAGTATGATCCCTGAATCAACAGCATCAGTATCACTGGGAACTTGTTAGAAATACGAATTCTTGGGCCCCTGACCCTAGGCCTACTGAATCTGAACCTATTGGGGGTGGGAGGGAAGAGTTAAGGACTGGTACTCTGTATTTTAATGGGCATTTCGGGTGCTTCTGACACAGGTGAGAACCTCTGGGGTCATGGATTCCATCAGGCTTGGGTTTTTGTTTTTTGTTTTTTTTTTTTTTTTTTTTGAGACGGAGCCTCAAGCTCTCCCCCTGGGTAGAGTGCCATGGCATCACGCTCACAGCAACCTCCAACTCCTGGGCTCAAGCGAGTCTCCTGCCTCAGCCTCCCAAGTAGCTGGGACTATAGGTGCCCGCCACAATGCCTGGCCATTTTTTGGTTGCAGCCATCATTGTTGTTTGGTGGGCCTGGGCTGGGGATTCGAACCCGCCACCTTAGGTGTTTGTGGCTGGTGCCTTAGCTGCTTGAGCCACAGGCGCCGAGCCTCAGGCTTGGGTTTTCACCCCCATCCACCACTTGCTGGCTCTGTGACATGAGGCAAGTGCTTTCCCAGCTGAGCCTCAGTTTTCACATGTCTAAAATTGGGACAATGAGGATTTTGATACAACAGGCATAGGGCACTTAGTGCACCATCCGACACAGAATTGGCACTGGATTCTATGCTGGCCACCAGCAGCCCAGTGTCCATTCTGGAAGCTGTCCTGCATCTCACTTCCCATCATACGATCATTGACCCAGTCTGTCCAGGCCACGCCCTTCACATCTCTTCCCTTCTTCTCCCCCAGAGTCTATGCCTTCATCAGCCCTTGTTGAGTGAGGTCCAGTTTCTGCACAAAGAGCTGAGAATAGGTACATGATGACAGAAGATGAGATGAATGGGAGCTCAGAAGCCCCCCCACCCCCAGGACTTGAGTCCACGGGATTGCCAGAGGCAAAGCCTCTTCTGAGGAAGAACACAGCCCTGCTGGTCAACTGTGCCGGTTTGGGGGGAGGGGTTGTCTTTTGGTTGTTTGTTTTTTTGAGACAAACTTTTACTCTGTCACCCAGGGTAGGAGGCAGTGGCATCATCATAGCTCACAGCAACCTCAAACTCCTGGGTTCAAGTAATCCTCCTGCCTCCCGAGGAACTGGGACTACAGGTGCCCACCACAATGCCCAGCTAGTTTTCTATGCTGGCATTTTTTTCTCCTAGGATTTCGTGCTAGGTGAAGGGGAGGAAAGCCTTTAGACAGTAGGTTTGCTGTCCCTGTGGCAGAGTGAGTCCTGAAGCTTCCTGTGTTATTTGCTGGAGCTCAAGGCATCCTGGAAACCTAATGAAAATGTCCCCGATCTATCCTCCGGCTAATACCACCCAGAAAGTGAGAGCGCCACAGCCAGGAGCCTCCGTTCTCTAATGAGCAGGATCAGTGATTCAGGAGGCAGCACTTTCTTGCCCATTGTGAGAAAGGAGCTCTGTGGGTGACTGTTCCCAATGGTGCCCTTGGGCCATTGTCACATAGTTCGAATATGGAAGAAAAAGGGGATTAGAATCCAAATGTTTGGGGGCACATGGATGTGGCTTCATTCTAGCCCCATGGCCTGCTCTCTTTCTCCTGCTCCCAGGCACCCCACTGCCCTCAGAGTCTGCCTGGCTCAGGTGTCCCCCAGACCACCCTCATCACCTCCTGCCCCGCTTTGCTCAGAAGTCACCTTCTCGCTGACCCTACCATGACCCTCGAGTCCCCACATGCACACACACCCACATACACTCTCTGTCTCCCTCAGTCACCGTGCTGGCCTTTTGTTTATCTGTCTTACTTACTCTCTGAGTCGCACCAGAAGTCCCTGGATGGATGGTTGAACACAGGCTGCTGGGCCCAGCCCCAGGATCTGCTTCTAGCAAGTTCTTCATTATGCCGCCCATCCAGGGACCTCATGTCAACAGCCACTGTGCTAGCACAGCACACACCCCACTAGGATGTAAGCCCCAGGAGGACAGGGACCTTTGTTGTGTCCACTGAGGCATCCCAAGAGCCTAGAAGAGTATCAGCCCCAGAGTCAACGCTCAATAAATATACTTTTTTTTTTTTGAGTGAAATGCATAGTAATGGAGAATTTGGTCGTGGGAGTCAGACAGACCTGGTGCAAATGCAAAATCCACCATTTCCTAGCTGTGACCTTGGGCAGGTTTTATAAGCCTCTGAAGCCTTAGTTTCC